CCGGATGACACATGCGCCCTTGGAGGAACTCAGCGCGTCAAACACCCTGCAGCAAGGGTATGAAAAACAGAGAGAGAGCAAAATCTATTTTTGAGGCGCCTCAGGGAAAAACGGAGAGAGAGCAAAGGGAAGAAAGGCCTTTGACTAGCCTAACGTATAAACCCTCAGTAAGGAGACACAACGTTTGGCTGGCCTTTGACTAGCCTAACGTTTTGAAGGCATCAGCAGCACTACTGGCAACCTCCTGTTGCCGGATGACACAGGCGCCCTTGGAGAAGCTCAGCGCATTGATCACGCAAGGGAATGGGAGGGTGAGGATGCGATGATACACAGCACCGTATTGGTATGCAGACACTTGCCCATGCCCATGCCCATGCCCATGCCAACACGTCCCACTGTCTGGAAAACAAAATGGCGGTGTTCCTCCTTGTGTCCACGCGTCCCTCCCACTCGGGGGCATTAATGTCCACGCCCAGCTGTCTTACCCCATCCCAACCTCCATCCCCGCCCTCATCCCCGCCCCCATCCCAGTCCATCCCCGCCCCTATACGCACCTGCTCGATCTCCTTGGGGTCGTTGATGGGCACTTCCAACAGGGTGAGACCCCAGAAGGGCATCAGTGTGCAGGCACGTGTCCATGTCGTTGCAGGCGAACTGCGTCCACACGTCCCACTCGGGGGAAGATATAGCCCCATGTCAAGTACAACAGACCCACCTGCTCGATCTCCTTGGGGTCGTTGATGGGCACTTCCACAGGGTGCGAGCCCAAGAGTGCATCGGTGTGCAGGCACGTGTCCATGTCGTTGCAGGCGAACTGCGTCCACACGTCCCACTCGGGGAAGATGTGGTCGACGCCCAGCCACCCCACCCACGTGGCGAAACCCTCGTTCAGCCACAGGTCGTTCCACCACTGCATGGTTACCAGGTTACCAAACCACTGTAGCGGGGGGAGCGGAGGGACACAAGGACGGGAGTGGAAGATGGGTGAGAGAGACAGGCAGGCGGGGAGAGCGGTTGATAGGAGTCTCGTTTGGAGGGGCCTCAAACCTGGAAGATGGGTGGGAGGGGCAAACAGACAGGGGGAGAGCGGTTGTCCCTTCCTTACAGGGCGCAGAGGTACATGGAATGGGGATTGGTGTGCATATGAAATCAATTTTGTAGCCTCACCTGGTGTGCGAGCTCGTGGGAGATGACGTAAGCCACGCCGCTGCTTGGTGGCAGCAGGCGCACTGCCCTCGTCCACCAGCAGAGCCGTCTCCCTGAAGGTGATGAGGCCCCAGTTCTCCATGGCGCCCATGGCGAAGTCAGGGATGGCTGGGGAGGTGGGGGGAGGCAAGGTTGCGGAAGGAGAAGACTAGAGGAGATTAGGCAAGGTAGAACACACCGAGAGCCGTCTCTCTGAAGGCAAGGAGGCCCCGGTTCTCCATGGCGCCCATGGCGAAGTCAGGGGATGGCAGCACGGGGAGTATGGGAGGAGAGGTCCGCCTTGGCAGAAGGTACTTGATTCCGAAGTAGTCCTCAAAGAACGTGATGACCTTGCAGGCTGCCTCGAATTGCATGTATGCTATGAGGTGACTTTTGAGTCGACTCAAAAGTATCCTATGGTCACATGCGCAATAACGGCCAGGCGCACACTGAACACATACCAATGAGGTCCGCCTTGGGCAGCGGGTACTTGATTCCGAAGTAGTCCTCAAAGAACGTGATCACCTTGCACGCCACGGACAAGGCGAACCTTCCCTGCTCCTTCCTCCCAGGCGTCGTGTAGATGTTCACCTGTGGCACACCCAGAGGTCAGCAGCAGAAGAGAGAGGGTTAGGTTCATGGATTATCACGCTTCACATCAGGTACATGCTCATTACAGGACTCTCAGCAAAGCTCTCAGCAAAGCTCTCACCACACCAGGCTCTCAGCACCTAATCCCAGTGCACACCACATACAGTCACACCCCTTATCTCTCTCCCATTCTCTCACCAGCATACCGTTGCTGGTCTTGTCCGACACGCACTTAACCTCCCCCACCACGAACGCCAGCAGATACGTGCTCATAACAGGGCTCTCAGCAAACCCTGACCCCAATGACACTCCACTCCAAGTAACCACACCCCATACATAAATACCCCTTATCTCTCTCCCATTCCCTCACCAGAGTACCGTTGCTGGTCTTGTCCGAGACGCCACTCCACCTCCCCCACCACGAACGCCAGCAGATACGTGCTCATAACAGGGCTCTCAGCAAACCGAACCACCTCCGACCCGTCCTCCTGCTTCTCCCGCCCAACCTCGTCCATATTGGACAAGCCCTGCAACCCGGCCGGCACGCGCAGGGACACCTCGAAGGTGGCTTTGGCTGCGGGCTCGTCCCAGCAGGGCAGGGCTTGGCGCGCTCCTACAGGCTCGAACTGAGTGGTAACCATCCACTGCTTCTGGCCATCACGCATGTAGGATGCGCCTGAATGGGGGCGCAGAGCAGATGGGGCAAGGGAGGGGCGCTATCAAGCCCTGCAACCAGGCCAAAACGTGGAGGGACACCTCGAAGGTGGCTTTGGCTGCGGGCTCGTCCCAGCAGGGCAGGGCTTGGCGCGCGCCGACTGGATCGAACTGAGTGGTACCATCTCAATACCCACAAGGTAGAACTTGACGATGCTGTCATGCATAAAAAAAAACTCGATATAAACCATCTCAAAAAACCAGTTACAATAGACTATATTGTCGTTGTGAATACCCGTGTACTCAATATAAGCCATACCGACAGTCACTTACGGTAGAACTTGACAGTGTCATGCATGTTGTCATTGTGAATCCCAGTGTACTCGATATAAGCCGTCTCAGCAACTACTTACGGTAGAACCCGACCATGTTGTCGTTGTGAATCCCGGTGTACTCGATCCTGAGCTTCGCAGGCCCGCCACTCAGCTGCTGCCCCTCCGCCAACACGAACCTTCCTTCCTGCCTCTCCTTGTCCAGCTCAACGGCCGGCACGCCATCCGCACCCGCTGTGAGGAGCTTGCCGCCCGTTGTCAGCTCCACCTGGAGGGGAAGAATCGTGGTGCGAAAGAGTAGAGCGGAGAGGACACAGGGGACTGGTGAGGCGCGAACCTTCCTTCCTGCTTCCCCTTGTCCAGCTCAACCGCCGGCACGCCATACGTTCCTGCTGTGAGCCAGCAGCGGAACCCCTGGTGTGAGCTCCACCTAGAAATGGGAACCGTGGAGGAAAAGCAGGGAGGAAATAGTACAAAGGATATCATACGCCTGCCGTGAGGAACTAACTACCAAAGAAGCACCACTCGCGCTTGCCGTAGAAACATCCACGTGGACAGTGTCGGGAATTAGACAGTCGTGGAAAAGACGCGAGGGGTCTATTTTCGAGGCGCCTCCAAAATAAACATCCACGTGGACAGTGTCAGGAATTAGACAGTCGTGGAAAGACGCGAGGGACTTTTGAGTCGACTCAAAAGACATCCACGTGGACAGTGTCAGGGATTAGACAGTCGTGGAAAAGGCGCGAGGGTAATATACGCGACATCGGGACGTGAGCTTGCGAGTGCCATCAGCCGGTAACGATTTGAACTTCTGTCACCAGAGGACATGAAGAGAATTGGGATGGAGTGTTGGAAGCCCTAATGCAGCTGCGGGCAGCCAGGCGTCAATTTAGCATTCCTTCATCGAGTTGGCTTCCATAACGCGACGCATCTACAATTCTCGCCTGACATAGAAATAGATCCAGTCACTATGCGCTTATCTTATGCCTTCCTTTGGAGACATTAAGTTCGATTAAGTTCGATTGCCTTCCTTATGCCTCGCTTTAAAGACATTGAAATTGACTCAGTCGCGTTGAAACGGATTCCGTCACTATCCGCTTATCTTATGCATCCGTTCGCAAACATAAAAAAGAATTCAGTTACAATCCGCTTACCTTGTGCAACTCCAGCTCCTGCGCGTGGAATCGAATCTCGTTCGTCGGCTCGACCACGTCTAGATCGACGGTCACGATGCCCTTGAACTTGAAGGTTTCCAGATTTGGCTCCAGATGAAGCACATACTTCTTAGGCTTCACGGACGTCGGCAGCAGCACGGACGCCATAGTAACGGGAAGGCGTGAATAGGTCTAAGCGATACGGCCTAAGCACAGGAGAGAGCAAACCAGCGACGCCAAACGGATGCGGAAATGCGAAGTCGTGCTGGAATGGAAAGCCTTGACGCCGGATTCCAATCTCGCAAGCCTGAAATTTACCTTAGATTTGAGTGAGATTCAATATTCCAGCCCCCCAGCAGGATTCCAGAATCCGGCAATGTTCAAGTTTGTGCAACGAAAGCCATAATTTCCAGCTCTCGACACCCTTCTCGGGCTGATGAATATACATCGGGGAAACCCTAAGCTAAGTTTCGTGCTGTACTGCTACAATAGGTGTCCGTCGGTGTTTCGCGTGCACACATCACAAATTTGAATGGCATAGTCTGTACTTACGTATGGACATAGTCTACATGAGCTAGATCCGGAAATGTTTTTTCCTGCATGGGCATTCATTACACGCAGTGCCGCGTTCGGGCTGCATCGGAAAACTCTTCGATTGGTTCCAGAAGGAAGAGTCGACCATGCTGGAATCAGGTGGAGGTGACGTACCCAGTGATTGAATCCACACCACGTGTTCGTCCTCCCCTCTTTCTTTGCAACGAAGTGTCCGCTTCATGGGAGACTAAGTGCTCAAATCCTACTACACTAGCGAAGCAGCTGGGAAAATAACTGAATAATATAAAGAAGAGTGCTAATTCGCAAGCTTGTGTAGCACTATGGCTGACACGCGTGTTCACTATTTAGAGCTGCAACATTGTTCCAAACATTCCTTCTCCAACTGCATAATTCCATTTCTGTTCAGTCCTAGGTTGTTCAGGTTTTCCAAGGCTTGAGAAATGATAGATCTATTGCTCCACTCAATCGGCAGCCCACCAACAAATGAAAGAGTACTCTACAAATGCAGAGTAATGGTTCACCAAGTAAGTGAACATAGATCCTGCATTTGTCTACCAACCTAACCATTACCCCTACCCATCACCACCAAACAATATATACCCACCACGGTTCCTCCGCCATATCCCATCCAGCATAAGTGAGCTGAATTCCTAGTTGACAAACCACTCCGCCCTGCCCAAGCCCGAGCTTACAGGCGCTTCCACCACGGCTTGATAAACTCAAACTCGCCCTTCGCACAACCTGCAGGATACGTCGCGGTGTTGAAAATCGCATAGTAGTTCGTAGGAATATGGATCATCGCGTCAATGGTGTCCTTGAGCGTGCCGGCGCCGACGGTAATCGTGCTGGCCTTGCTCCACTTGCCCTTGAACCGGTACTCGTAGGGGATGTACTTCTGGAGGAACTTGAACACGCGGAGCTCGTACGTGGTGTTCGTGTACGTCTGGCCTGCGGCCAGGTCGATAACCACGCTATTGTCGGCCGCGCTGTTGACAGTGAACGCGGTGGGTTCTCCGACCTCCTTCGTCTCGGATTCAGCGCCGAAGCGGATGTTGTAGTCGTCGTCCTTCCTGCTCACGGAATCGCCAGGGTTTAGAAAACCATTCGGTATGAGACCATTCCAAATGGTTTGGATGTGCTGCAAATCCGTTGATGGGGAAACGAACCCTCGGTAACGAAGGTACCAGCGATGGGCACGTGATTTAAGAGCCACATTTCTGCACATCATTTCTTACTTGTATATTGCCATGTAGACATAACCGTCTGACACCTTGCTGGCGCCGTCCACGTGGTCCAGCTCTGCGTAGAGCGAACCCTGGTAGACTCCCAGGAACACGTCGTTCGTGTGGATCTTCTGCAGCTGAGTGCGCATGCCCGGACGCGCGAAACCTGCAAGAAAATATTGCCGGGAGGAAGTAAGTCAGCTTGCACTCTGACGATTCACTCTTCAAATACCGCGACACGAGATGCTGTTTGACATGTACTCGTAATGTGGTTGAAGCAGGAGATGTTTCACGGAGACCTACCTACTGCGGCGAGGCATGCTAACGTGACGGCGAAAATTGCAAGTTTCTGAGTCATGGTGGCCTTTCTGGCAGATTTAGGAAGCGGAGGCTCGAAGGTAGCTTTGTTCGAGATGGTCCACGATGGCTGTGTTGAATGATGTTCTCGAGGCTGAAATGTCGAATTTATGCATTGGGTGAATATGTCATTCCTGAGTGACATTGCGGCACGCCGCATTCCGAGCCGCGCCATGCTGTGTAGCACACGGTCCAGCTGCCGAAAACGCGAAGTGAGATGCCCCTTCCTAGCCACATTTCTTTAGGCCGGTGCATAACTTGTGAGAAAGATCTGAGAGTTTGTGACAGTAACGTAACGATGTGTGAAACGCTATTGACAGTTCGGTTGTGGATTCGCTCAGCACCGCCATCCAATAGGAAGCTACGCCTAGCTCCGGCCTCAACCTAGAAACTGGTCGCGCAATCCCAACAGAATGGCCAACACGTTTTCTCGGTGGAGCCCAACATCCAGTGCCTGATCAATAATCTCAATGGCTAAGTATACAGTGGCCTGATACTCTAGTAAGCTATTAGGGATGCGACAACTTGAAGACAACTCTTACTATTCATAAGCACTAAGGTTCATAATATGTTAATCGTCTTTTGCCTCTAAGACTACGTTGACTGTCATTTCCTTGTCACCCCTCAATACAGTGACGGCGACCTGCACATGCGACACCTCCATCAGCAATCATGTAGCACGGCAAGCATAGAGGCATTTTTCCAACCCGTGGCCCTATAATATGCACACTCACCGTGTCACCCACTTGGCAATCATCCAGCGCCCTGTAGAGATCGGTCCCGCTGCGCACTTTATGGTTATCAATGGCGGTTATGATGTCGCCCAAAACCAACCGCCCAAAGTTGTCTCTAGACGTGGGCCGGAGGCCCTGGAAGATGGGTGAACAAATGTACGGAAAGGTGGAAAGGAAATGAATGAGATGCAAACTAGGGGTGCATGTGGGACAAGTCAATGGCTGGAGCAAGTGAAGCAGGCAGGCATCTTGGGGAAACAAGAAAATAAGATGGCTGCCTGTTTCACTTGCTCCAGCCATTTGACTTGTGTGAACTCATGTCGAGACATGAGAACTCATGTCGAGACATGTGAACTCATGGCTTTGCCTGCGGGCTCTGAGGGAGGGGCATCGAGCTCGAGCACCCCATCGAACCCCAGCTGCTCCACTTCCTCCTCGGGAGTAAAGGAAATCGTCAGGAGAGGCCTCCTGCTGCTCACTTCTCGTTCTCGTTTTAAGCATGTGTTACTAGAGTCGCTCTCAAGATACACTCACCGCTTTGCCTGCGGGCCCCGAGGGAGGGGCGTCCAGCAAGAGCCCGCCATCCACCCTCAGCTGCTCCACTGTCTCCTCGGGCGCAAAGTACATGCCCAGGAGCGGCCACGCGATTACCACATGCATATCTCCCTCAGTATAATCATGCTGTCTGAGCTTACAGCTTCATAATAGATGCCCATCCACCCTCAGTATAATCATGCTGTCTGAGCTTACAGCTTCATAATAGATGCCCATCCACCCTCAGTATAATCATGCTGTCTGAGCTTACAGCTTCATAATAGATGCCCATCCACCCTCAGTATAATCATGCTGTCTGAGCTTACAGCTTCATAATAGATGCCCATCCACCCTCAGTATAATCATGCTGTCTGAGCTTACAGCTTCATAATAGATGCCCATCCACCCTCAGTATAATCATGCTGTCTGAGCTTACAGCTTCATAATAGATGCCCATCCACCCTCAGTATAATCATGCTGTCTGAGCTTACAGCTTCATAATAGATGCCCATCCACCCTCAGTATAATCATGCTGTCTGAGCTTACAGCTTCATAATAGATGCCCATCCACCCTCAGTATAATCATGCTGTCTGAGCTTACAGCTTCATAATAGATGCCCATCCACCCTCAGTATAATCATGCTGTCTGAGCTTACAGCTTCATAATAGATGCCCATCCACCCTCAGTATAATCATGCTGTCTGAGCTTACAGCTTCATAATAGATGCCCATCCACCCTCAGTATAATCATGCTGTCTGAGCTTACAGCTTCATAATAGATGCCCATCCACCCTCAGTATAATCATGCTGTCTGAGCTTACAGCTTCATAATAGATGCCCATCCACCCTCAGTATAATCATGCTGTCTGAGCTTACAGCTTCATAATAGATGCCCATCCACCCTCAGTATAATCATGCTGTCTGAGCTTACAGCTTCATAATAGATGCCCATCCACCCTCAGTATAATCATGCTGTCTGAGCTTACAGCTTTGCCCGCGGGCCCTGAGGGAGGGGCGTCGAGCACGAGCACCCCATCCACGCCCAACTGCTCCACCGCCTCCTCGGGCGCAAAGGAGATGCCCAGGAGAGGCCGCACCACCTTGCCGTTCTCGATGATCTGCTCCACTATGCCGCTGATCTGATGGGGGGCGGGGGGAGGAGGAGAGCGTGGGTGGGGGGGTTAGGAAGGAAGGGGCATCAGACGGGTGGATACAGGGCAGGCTGGATACGAGGTCGCACCACCTTGCCGCTCTCAATGCTCTGCTTTACTATGCCGCTGATCTGATGGGTTGGAGTGTGGAGGGAGGGGGGGAGAGAGGAGGGGGGAGGGGGGGAGAGAGGAGGGGGGAGGGGGGGGGGGAGAGGAGGGGGGAGGGGGGTATGAAGGAATAAGGGACATCGGACGGGCGGATACGGGGCAGGCTGGTCACTGAGAAGATGCGCAGAAGAGGCCGCACCCTTCTCAATAATCCGCTCCACTATGCCGCTGACCTGATGGGGGGGGTGGTGAGGGACTGTGGATAGGGCAGTGTGGGCTGGGATGGTTAGAACTGAGGAGATGCCCGGGAGAGGCAGGATGAACTTGCTGTTTGCTATTATCTTCCCCACTATTGTGCTGATCGGAAGGGTTGCGTTGTGAAGGAAGGGGAAGTGGAAAGGGAGATGTGGAGCGGGCTGCATGGATGGTTAGAACTGAGGTGATGCCCGGGAGAGGCTGCACAACCTTGCCGTTCTTGATAATCTGCTCCACTATGCCGCTGATCTGATGGGTTGGAGGACGAAGAAAGAAGGAGCATCAAACGGGTGGATACGGGGTAGGTAGGTACTGAGGGGATGCCCGGGAGAGGCCGCAACACCTTGCCGTTTGCTATTATCTGCCCCACTATGCCGCTGGTCTGATGCGGAGGGGGTCTGGGAAGGGGCATCAAACGGGTGGATACGGGGTAGGTGGGTACTGAGGGGATGCCCAGGAGAGACCGCACTACCTCGCCAATGTTATGCAATAAAGTCACAAATTATTACAAGCACAGTAAGCAAGTATCATAACCCACAGAAATAGCCGTGTTGATGCCCGTGTCACTCTCTACAACCTCTCTCCCTCCGCCTCTATATGTTTGTATGAAGCACAGTAAGCACCATTACTCACAGAATCAGCAGGGGTGGCAAATCCAACGCCGGAGGAAGCGCCGGAGGGAGAGTAGATCCCCGTGCTGATGCCGATGCTACTCTCTGATTCTTGGCACAATAGGCACTACAAGAACTAGAACTCACAGAATCAGCAGGAATGGCGAATCCAACACCAGAAGAAGCGCCGGAGGGCGAGTAAATAGCCGTGTTGATGCCGATCAGGCTGCCACTAGAGTCCAAAAGTGGCCCACCGCTGTTGCCCGGGTTGATAGCAGCATCCGTTTGTATCACGCCCTGTATTGGCCGCCCCGTTGCTGCTGACTGGATCTCTCTCCGTAGGCCACTACGGATATTGCAGAGAGGGAAGAGGATGGACCATGGAGGAAAGGGAGAGGAAAATTGCGGAGGGAGGGAATAGAGGGGAGAAGGGGAAGGTAGAGGAGGAAGACTGAGGGAGAGGAAAGCGAGGAAGGAGAGAAGCGATGACGGACATAGGGGAGGAGCCATTTGTAGACCGACCTGGCTCATTTGAAGTAAGAGGGAAGTTACCACAAGAAGACAAGAGCAGAAGTTCCCGAAAGGAAGGGTTTTTTGAGTCGACTCAAAAGGAAGGGGGTGTGGAGTGGAGAGAGGAGATTGTGTAATGAGTCGATTTTTGAGTCGACTCATTACACACGTGAGGAGATTGAGGAAGGGGAGAAGCAATGATGAGGGCCGGCAGTTGTAGGCTGACCTGATAACGCCTGATGTAAGAGTGTGGTCGAGACCAAACTGTAGACAAGGAGACAAGAGCAGAAGCAGTACACGCAAGGCGTGGGGAGGAGGGGGGGAAAAAGAGGGGCTTGGAGAATTAGTTGGGGAAACATGGATTTGATTGGTTCAGAAGGGTTGAGGGAGGGGGAAAATTAGGGGTTCTTTCGCAGTCTTAGAGTGAGTGGGGGGGAGGGAAGGGGGGAGGGAAGTGGGGAGAAACGATTTGTGCAGATGAGGATGTGTGAGGAAAGAGCGAGTGGGGTTGAGGGAGAGTGAGTATGGGTGAGGGAGAGTGGGTGTGAGTAAGGGGAGAAGGTGTGAGTGAGAGAGAGTTGGTGTGAGTGTGAGAGAGTTGGTGTGAGTGTGAGAGAGTTGGTGTGAGTGAGGGATAGTAGTAGTGGGTGTGAGTAAAGAAGGGTGAGACGCATAGGGCTACCAATAGCAAGTGGTAGCCCTACGCGTCTTTACGCATAGGACAAAGACCCTTCGCCCAACCAATGACTTTCGAGTCGACTCAAAAGTCAGAGGTCTGATGGCGATCCGAAGGTGACGAGGTGTAACGACTCTCGAGGGGACTACCAACTGCACTGCACCTGCCCAACTCATAGGTTACAGAGTTACTGGAGTTACTCACAGGGCTGCAGCACAGCACCCCTCCCAGGGTTACCGATGGCGAAGACCCGTTGGCCGACCATAAGATCCGAGGACGACCCGATGATCACTGGATGGATGGAGCCATTTCCTAGGGGGGTTACCAACAACACTTTTGAGGCGCCTCAAAAGTCATTTCCGAGGGGGGTTACCAACAACACTATGCTACCGGATTGCTGAGTATGTTACTCACCGGGTTACCGATGGCGAAGACCCGCTGCCTGACCATAAGATTGGATGGTGACCACCGGGTGGAGCGACTCCTGAGGCGGGTACTAACTGCGCAAGTCTACTGAATTACTCACAGGGTTACCAATGCCACCATGCACAGTGTTACTACATCACTCACAGGGTTACCAATGGCAAAGACCCTTTGCCCGACCATAAGGTCCGAGGACGATCCGATAGTGACCGGGTGGAGCGACTCCCAAGGGGCGTTGATTCGCAGCACGGCCACGTCCTTGTCCTCGTCGCGCCCCACCACCTGCGCTGCGTGCACCGAGGAGTCTGAGAGGGTGACCCTGCACGCAAGCCAAATCACACGGGGTGACTCTATTTTTGAGGCGCCTCAAAAATAGACTCCTCACGTCCTTGAACTCGTCGCACCCCACCACCTGCGCTGCGTGCACGGAGGAGTCTGAGAGGGTGACCCTGTGTGCCGTGCCGAGAAGGGAAGGGAAGGGGAGAAAGTGGAGAGGAGGAGAGTGGGTGAAGCTGATCTTTAGTGCTGCACGTCCTCGTCGTCGTTGCACCGCCACTTGTCCTCGTCACTTGTAGGAGCCACACTCGCTATCACGTGGTAGATAAAACTTGGTCAAGATGTGCCCCATCTCGTCCCGAATGAAAACAGTTTATTTTGAGTTATCTCATATGGGACGAGGTGTATCAGCCGCACTCGCTATCACGTGGTGGTTGGAACTTGGTCTCGATGTGCCCCATCTCGTCCCATATGAAACCACTCGCTATCACGTGGTGGGTATTTTTCAGTCATATGGGACGAGGTGTATCAGCCACACTCGCTATCACGTGGTGGTTGGAAATCAAAATACACCTCGTCCCATACGAAACCACTTTCCAACCCCTGCGGCACCTCCAGGCTCCAGCACCCGTCGAGCGTGCCGCACCAAGTCTCACCTTATGTCAGCAGCAGCGGCGATCACGCGGTAGCTGGTCACGATGTGGCCTAGCTCGTCCCATACGAAACCACTTCCCGACCCCTGCGGCACCTTCAGCACGTCGAGCGTGAGCGTGAGCGTCGAGCACCTCCAGCACACCTAGCGTGAGCGTGAGCGTCGAGCACCTCCAGCACACCTAGCGTGAGCGTTCCCTGTCGCGCCAGCGACTCGCGTCTCACCTTACATCGGCCGCATTGGCGATCACGTGGTAGTTAGTCACGATGTGGCCCAGCTCGTCTCAGATAAACCCGCTGCCCGACCCCTGAGCCTGCCCGCGGCACCTCCATCACGCCGAGCGTGAGCGCAGCATCCTCTCCACGCAACTGTCTCATTCTGCCTCAAGCTTACGAGCCCACGTCGAGCGCCAGCGTTCCATGTCTCGCCTTACGTCAGCGGCATTGGCGATCACGTGGTAGTTGGTCACGATGTGGCCCAGCTCGTCCCAGATAAAGCCGCTGCCCGATCCCTGGGGGACCTCTAGAACTCTACTCTGTAGGGGAATCGAGAGGCCTCAATAAACACCCTCATCTCACCTTATATCGGCCGCATTGGCGATCACGTGGTAGTTAGTCACGATGTGGCCCAGCTCGTCCCAGATAAAACCGCTCCCAGATCCCTGCGGCACCTCCAGCGCGTCGAGCGTGAGCGCGTCGCGACTGACGGCGAGTCAGAGATTCGTGATGGGGAGTCGGAGACCAGCCGTTTCACGCACGCGCACGACACAGACCCAGGATACTCCCAACCAAGCATAAAACACTCGGCCACCTAAGGTCGAGATTCTAGAAACTAGGCCACCTCGTGCCTCACCTTATATCGGCCGCATTGGCAATCACGTGGTAGTTGGTCACGATGTGCCCCAGCTCGTCCCAAATAAAACCGCTCCCGGATCCCTGCGGCACCTCGAGCACGTCGAGCGTGAGCGCGTCGCGACTGACGGCGAGATTCGTGATGTTAACGACCGACGGCGTCGTCTCCTTGAACAATCGGACGGTCGCGATCTCGTCCTGCGACAGCGTGCGCGGCGGCGCCGCCACGTAAGCGAGCGCGGGATGCGGCGACGCGGAGAGGACCAGCAGCGCGATCGACGCCGACGCGGCCAGTTTCCGCCAATCGGAAGCCGCCGATTTCAGCCAATCAGAAACAGTCGATTCCGGCGAATGGGAAGAGAGAAAAAAGGAGGAGGAGAAATGGGAGGAGAGAAAGGAGGAGCCTACGCTGTCGCGATGCAGCTTCTGCGAAAGCGCGTGCCGCCATTGCGCGACAACGCGACGCGCGGCTGAGACTAAAGCGGCGGCTCTGGTCTCCTGAGATGTTCCGATATCGCAGTCTGAGTTCGACTGGCTGACTTCGCGATCCCCGTTATAGACAGAAAGAGGCGACGAAACGACGCGCGATAAAGATGACGATGCGCCGATATTATCCTCGCTATTAACCTTTATAAATACGCTATCGCCCGGTTTCGAAGGGGACGCGATATCCCCGCTATTAGCCTTTTGGTCGAGCGCCTGAAGCGCGGCGCGCGGGGAATAAAAGTGTTGGTCCCCTTTCTCCCCTCGTAATGCTGGTAACATTACCCGGGGGTGCTGCTCCCCCGGTTCGGGCGTTAATCCTTTATTCCCATCGAACGGGTGCTGTTCCTCCGGTATGGACGGGCTAAACGCATCGGGAGCATCTCTGCCGTTCGATGTCGGCAGAGAAGCTCGCGCTGCGGACCCAGAAACTCCTGATGACGCCACGTGGCGGTTCTTGAGTGGCTGAGACGTTCGCAACGTGCAATGGCTGGGATCGGCGGGTTTCACGATTAAAGGCTTTAATCGAGAGCAGCGGGGCGGGAGGAAGGGACCATGCGACGACGACGACGACGAGCTGGTTACCCTATTGCGAGAGGACGGCAATGACGATCCTGCTCGTGCGCGAACGACGTGCGACGCGGGAGCTGCGGCCATGGCGATGCCACCAGGCTACAGTCTATTCCTCCCACTTGGCAGAGTTTCCAGACTAAAAACACGGGTCAAGTAAACTCTCGTACTGTACGTAACAAGATAACACCACCACCCCGCTCCCACTCTCCCGGGATTACCCGCAACGATCAGATTAGCTGACCCGCCTAATCGCGCCGCTCGCTTTCTCGCGCCCATTGCTTTTTTGCGCCCCTAGCTCTTCCCTCCATTCTGTAACCCGTTCCCCTCAATATTCCCGGTCGCGCGCTCCCCGATTTTGCGGATTTGTCCCTCAATTATCCCGATTCGCCGCCCTCCCTCCCCCAACCCGCTCCCACTACACAACCCCTCCGCCCGCCCGCCCCCCAAAAACCCCCTCTACCCCCTCTCCCACCCCCATGCCCCCCAGCCCACACCCCCACACACCCCTTCTCAGCAAATGCGGCGCATGCACGGGGTGGAAAACCGAAATCGAGGTGAGGCGAACCGAAACGAGCGACGATGAGAGATGATCATGCGATCTCATGTGTGGCCATGCGACCTGTGCGGAAACACCAGCTCCGACGCAGAGATGCTCGTCCACCACACCGAACGAAGCCAACACGGGAAGAGATCAACGAGGGTCAAGAACATTGGCAGGGCGATCAAAATGCTTCAGTTCGCGGGCAGAAACCTATCCGGAAACAACAAGGGCCCCGAGAATGGCATGCGGGCCGCTATGGGTTCTAGTTTTCTGGGCAGCCCAAAAATATATATACCAGGGAGCAACGAGAATCACCTGACGCACTCTGATCAATTTTGGCGATGTACCTGACGCTCGCTGATACCCTCCCAACCGAACACCTCCGAGTGAAGCTCGTCGCTGGACGTACATGACGAATTGGTTGGTGTGCGGGTCGAACTCGTAAACCTTTAGTACAGGTGTCCGCTAGTGAGTGGTCGTTTTGCACCATTTTGACGGTCATGTGTGTACGTCGCGATGAAAATGGTGGCGGTGAATGATTGGCTGATGTGTGCTTGCGATGAAACGAGCTGTCGTTGGCGGTCCACAATAAGTTCCATCCCGTCACCCACTGATCAGCGGCACTCTCGCTAAGGGAATAGATCAAAGAGCGTCAGGTACATTGGCAGGGGGATCAAAATGCGTCAAATGGCGGGCAGCAAACTGCCCGAAAACAACAAGGGCCACGAGTTTAGGGTTGTTGTCACCTGGAATGGGAAAGGGGCCCTTATGGGTTTTATGTTTTGGGCAGCCCGGGAAAAAAACATGTCAGGGAACAAAGAGAGGCACCTGACGCAATCTGATCAATTTTGCCAATATACCCGACGCTCGTTGATACCTTCCCCTCGCTCGACGTCAGTTCGTCGCGAGATGACATGGCACACCCACCCCGTACTCGCCTAAGTGGGAGTCATCTCGCAACAGCCAGCCTCGACCAGTTACACCCCAAAGGAAACCACGTTGTCAAAAATGGTATACTCTACACCGCACAACTATGCACTCTACAATGTTAGATTCCGTACCAGAGTCCATGTGGTACGTAACATCACTAAACAAACGTGCCTCATTTTGACAGAGTGGCACCAGAGTGGTTCCGAGTAGTGCCTCTTTTTTCAGAGTCAGTCAGCCTTTTTCTCTCGCCCACTTGCTCCTTTATCCACAACGAATCTCACCTTCCCCTCACTCTTCTCCTCCCCTTTCTTCCCTCCATCCTCCTCCCCCTTCACATCCTCCCCACTATCCTTCCTGCCCACGCTCCCACTCCCAGCAGCAGCAATTGCCAAAGCAGCGGCAGCAGCAGCAGTACCACTAAGAGCACTATTAGCTCTTAGTTCCTGCGCTCTACTAAGCACTGCCGCCATGCGCTTGTTCCTAACCGCCTTAACGGTGTCCTCTATAGAGAGGCCTAGCTTTCGTCTCAAGTACCGACGGAAGGCCAGCTGGATCGTGCGGGCGGCGTGCGCTCGTCTGTTGTAGCAGATTTGGCTGAAGGTGGTCAGGGGGAGAAGGGAAGGAGACGGGGAGGAGGAGCGAAGAGGGCATTAGAACCAAGGCGATGAAATCTCTGACCAAGACTATAACAGGTGCCAAGGTTGACGGTAACGGAACCCAAGGAAACTTTACCAGCCTCTAGGGAACACTCCAAGACCAAAAGCCACTTACCCGAGAGAAACTTTCAGTCACTCACTTGAGAGCCCCCTGGATGGTGTTGGTGCAGAGCATTCTCGCAAACTGCTTGCACACCGCCGCCACGTCAACAGCCTCGAGCGAGTACCCCTCCACGGGCCCCAGGCAGCGCACCGAGCGCTGCGCCGTGGGGAGCACGTCGACGGACGGCTGGGAGAGGTTGGACGAGCTGGTGAGCGACGGGGTGGACATGATGGCTGGTGGGAGGGGTTGGGAGGGGTGGACGCAACATGAGAGGGGGCGAGGGTTGATACGAGACCACACCGAGTGCTGTGCCGTGGGGAGAACATCTACGGATGGCTGGGGGAGGTTGGACGAGCTGGTGAGAGGCGGGGTGGACGTGATGGCTGGCGGGAGGGTGGGGGGAAGGAGGGAGGGGAGGAGGAGGGGTGGGAGAAGGAAGGGTAGGGGTGGGGAAGATGAGACACAGAACTGATCGCTGGGCTGTGGGGAGCACACGTTATGCCGGCTGGGAGAGGTTGGACGAGCTAGTGAGAGACGGCGTGGACGTGATGGCTGGTGGAAGGGTGGCGGTGGTGGGGGTTGCGGAGAAGGGGATACATGGTTGTCGGGCGAGTACCCCTCCATGGGTTTCCTAATCACCCAAACCTTCCCAAACCCCAAGCCTCCCCAAACCCCAAGCCTCCCCAAATCCCGAGCCTTCCCAAGTTTCTGAGGGTGACTGCTGTGCATGAGGGTGACTGCTGTGCATGAGGGTGACTGATGTGCATGAGGGTGACTGCTGTGCATGAGGGTGACTGCTGTGCCTGAGGGTGACTGCTGTGCATGAGGGTGACTGCTGTGCATGAGGGTGACTGATGTGCATGAGGGTGACTGCTGTGCATGAGGGTGACTGCTGTGCATGAGGGTGACTGCTGTGCCTGAGGGTGACTGCTGTGCCTGAGGGTGACTGCTGTGCATGAGGGTGACTGCTGTGCATGAGGGTGACTGCTGTGCCTGAGGGTGACTGCTGTGCATGAGGGTGACTGCTGTGCATGAGGGTGACTGCTGTGCATGAGGGTGACTGCTGTGCATGAGGGTGACTGCTGTGCATGAGGGTGACTGCTGTGCATGAGGGTGACTGCTGTGCATGAGGGTGACTGCTGTGCATGAGGGTGACTGCTGTGCATGAGGGTGACTGCTGTGCATGAGGGTGACTGCTGTGCATGAGGGTGACTGCTGTGCTGAGGGTGACTGCTGTGCTGAGGGTGACTGCTGTGCATGAGGGTGACTGCTGTGCATGAGGGTGACTGCTGTGCCTGAGGGTGACTGCTGTGCATGAGGGTGACTGCTGTGCATGAGGGTGACTGCTGTGCATGAGGGTGACTGCTGTGCCTGAGGGTGACTGCTGTGCATGAGGGTGACTGCTGTGCATGAGGGTGACTGATGTGCATGAGGGTGACTGCTGTGCATGAGGGTGACTGCTGTGCCTGAGGGTGACTGCTGTGCCTGAGGGTGACTGCTGTGCCTGAGGGTGACTGATGTGCATGAGGGTGACTGCTGTGCATGAGGGTGACTGCTGTGCCTGAGGGTGACTGCTGTGCATGAGGGTGACTGCTGTGCATGAGGGTGACTGATGTGCATGAGGGTGACTGCTGTGCATGAGGGTGACTGCTGTGCCTGAGGGTGACTGCTGTGCCTGAGGGTGACTGCTGTGCCTGAGGGTGACTGCTGTGCATGAGGGTGACTGCTGTGCATGAGGGTGACTGCTGTGCCTGAGGGTGACTGCTGTGCCTGAGGGTGACTGCTGTGCATGAGGGTGACTGCTGTGCATGAGGGTGACTGCTGTGCATGAGGGTGACTGCTGTGCATGAGGGTGACTGCTGTGCATGAGGGTGACTGCTGTGCATGAGGGTGACTGCTGTGCATGAGGGTGACTGCTGTGCATGAGGGTGACTGCTGTGCATGAGGGTGACTGCTGTGCATGAGGGTGACTGCTGTGCCTGAGGGTGACTGCTGTGCATGAGGGTGACTGCTGTGCATGAGGGTGACTGCTGTGCCTGAGGGTGACTGCTGTGCATGAGGGTGACTGCTGTGCATGAGGGTGACTGCTGTGCATGAGGGTGACTGCTGTGCATGAGGGTGACTGCTGTGCATGAGGGTGACTGCTGTGCATGAGGGTGACTGCTGTGCATGAGGGTGACTGCTGTGCATGAGGGTGACTGCTGTGCATGAGGGTGACTGCTGTGCATGAGGGTGACTGCTGTGCCTGAGGGTGACTGCTGTGCCTGAGGGTGACTGCTGTGCATGAGGGTGACTGCTGTGCCTGAGGGTGACTGCTGTGCCTGAGGGTGACTGCTGTGCATGAGGGTGACTGCTGTGCATGAGGGTGACTGCTGTGCATGAGGGTGACTGCTGTGCATGAGGGTGACTGCTGTGCATGAGGGTGACTGCTGTGCATGAGGGTGACTGCTGTGCATGAGGGTGACTGCTGTGCATGAGGGTGACTGCTGTGCATGAGGGTGACTGCTGTGCATGAGGGTGACTGCTGTGCATGAGGGTGACTGCTGTGCCTGAGGGTGACTACTGTGCATCTACGTGACCGCAAACGCTCTGGCGGGGCAGCGTTTAGCGTTTAAACGCTGCGTTTAAACGCTAAACGCTAAACGCGTGGTAAAACGCTAAACGCTCGGGTAAAATTTTAGGGGCAGCCCGACGAAAAAATCGACCAAAATTTTTTCGCGACATTGCGACCTGGCGAATTCAACTAGACATTCGCCAAGTCGCAAATCCCAACCTAGCGACCAAAAAACGCATCCAATTCTTTTGCCCCGCTCAACCGCACAGCACCCTGTTCATCTACGGCCACTCCAACCTAACCACTTTCTCCCCTTCTTCCATCACAATCTCTTCTCCATGAGAAACGGGAACCCTAGAGTTCCGCGCGACATAGCCGTAGATCAGATTTAGTCGTCATTCTCTCATCTCCCACGCCCACTCACCCTTGCCACCTAATTTCGCGCTAAGTTAAGGGCCCACGCCCATGTCGACCCCCCCTAATGGTGCTGCAGACGCTAATCCTACAGCGTCTGCAGCGTCAAATATTTACGAGGCAGAGTCTAATCATGATGTTTACAAGCATTACAAAGTTAGAGTTAAGGAGGCCGGGGTCGCCACAGCTAGGGTGGAATGTCGTTATTGCGGGCTGTCTTTTGTAGGCATTCCCAACCGGTGCGCTATGCATTTCGCGGAGTGGGAAGGACAGGGGCGGCGGGAGGTCAAGGAATGTCCCTCGGCGCCAAAGGAGGTGAGGGAGGCAATGCAGGCACTATACGAAGGGAAGGCGTCTGTCAAGGCCCAGAAGCGTAAGGAGGTCGCGGATGCGGTGGAGGCCGTGGGGGGAGGGGGAAAGCGGGGCAAGATAACTACGTATTTCAGCAACGGCGTGGCATGTGCTAAGCGTGAGGCGGATGCGGCATTGTGCCTCATGTTTGCAGCCCTCCGCATCCCAGAACGTCATGCCGACCACCCACTCTTCGTCGATGCCGTGCATGCGGTCGCTCGTGCGGGAACAACGTACGTGCCGCCCAAACGCACGTACATTGGAGGAGCGGGGTTGAAGGAGTGTCGCACCCGCATCGATCTCGCCCTTGATGCACTCAAACAGAATTGGGAGAGGCATGGCGTCACCGTGGCTTCAGACATGATGACAGACCGGTGCGGGAGGCCGCAAGCGAACGTCATGTTAGTCAATGACTTCGGCGCCATGTTTGCCGACTGCATTGACTGCCGCATGGAGACGAAGACAGGCGGGTACATTGCCGGCATCCTCCGCCCTATCATCCAGAAAATCGGGCCTGCGAATGTGGTGGCGCTATGCACGGATGGGGGGAGTAACTACGGCAAGGCCTGCAAGGTGTTGAGGGAGGAGTGGCCGCACATTGAGCATGTGCCGTGCGCCACTCATGTCCTAGACCTGCTCATGGAAGACGTGGGAAAGCAGGCGTGGGCGAAGAGGGTGGTTGAGGGTGCGAACGAGGTGATAAATTACGTCCGCAATCACCACTGGACGAGGAACTTCTTGCGCGAGCCAGGGGAGCTGAGGGGCAAGGTGCTGCAGCTGTTGAAGCCAGCGGGCACCCGGTTCGGAACCCAGTACATTGCAGTGTCGAGGCTTGTAGACCTCCACGGGAAGCTGACTGTGTTGGTGGCAGGCGAAACGTGGAAGGCGTGGGCCGTAGGGAAGCAGAAGGCAGCGGCCGATTCCATCCAGAGCATTGTGCTTAACCAGGCTTGGTGGGCAGCAGCTGAGTTCTTTGTCAAGCTGTTGAAACTGCCTTACCTTGTGATGCGGTCGACTGACTCCTCGGCCAAGGGGATGATGGGGCAGATTTATGAGCTCATGCTCAAACTCACTGTGGACGTGACTGATCTGTTGAAGAAGGAAGACTTGCAGCTGACGCCGGAGGATAAGGAGGGGATTGGGGAGATCATCCAGCATCGGTGGGACGTCAGCATGGCTTGCCCACTGCATGCTGTTGGCCGGATCCTCAACCCGGCCAACCAGGTTGCTAAGATCTTTGGCCCCGACAAGGAGTGCACCGACCTGTTTAAGGAGTTCATTGGCCGATACAGCAGCACCATCACCATCGATCGTAAGGAGGCAAAGGAGAAGAGTGCGGTAGTGGTACTGCAGGAGGGAGTGACTGCATTCCTGAAGCTGAGGGGTTCCTTCGGCAAACCCGACGCAATAATGCAGCGGCAGAAAGTGAAGGAGGGGAGTCTAAGTATGGAGGACTGGTGGACCTGGCACGGGACCGACCACCCCGAGCTGGCAGAGCTCGCGTGTCGTGTGCTCACGCAGCCGGTGTCTGCATCCAGCTGCGAGCGCGGGTGGGCAGTGTGGGAATCGGTGCACACTGCACGCCGCAACCGTCTCGGGCCCGAGAAGTGCCGGGACTTGGTGTTTGTTGCGCACAACTGGAACGTTGTGCGCAACTGGCACAAAACCAGCGAGGAGAGTAGGGCGGTTCTTGCGGGGAACATCCCGGATGCTCCCATTCCAAAAGGATACAACGTCGATGAGGAGGGGCAGTTAGAGGAGGATGAGTATGGAGATGAGCCCGTGCTCGAGGACGAGTATGGGGAGGAGGAGGAGGAGGAGTAGGAGGAGATGAGGGAGTGGCGGCGGCGGTTAAGAAGCATGGGGGGCTTTTGGGTAGGAGGGTGGAGGAAGGAAGACGGAGGGTGCTGTTGATTAGAGGGTGGTAGTAGGTAGTACATGTGGTTGTCGTTGACATGTGGATTTGACATGCCATTTTTTTTTTATGTGATATAATTTGGAGGAAAATTGTTGTCAACCATAATCCCCTTGCCTCCCCCTACCTATCCCAGGTTTTTTTACCCTGCCCGGAATTTTTTTTCCGGCTGCCCGAGAGTGCGTTTACCTTAGCGTTTAGAAACTCAAGCAGCAGCGTTTAGCGTTTAAACGCTAGCGTTTAAACGATGCGTTTAAAACGCTAAACGCGTTTGCGGTCACGTAGCTGTGCATGAGGGTGACTGCTGTGCATGAGGGTGACTGCTGTGCCTGAGGGTGACTGCTGTGCATGAGGGTGACTGCTGTGCATGAGGGTGACTGCTGTGCCTGAGGGTGACTGCTGTGCATGAGGGTGACTGCTGTGCCTGAGGGTGACTGCTGTGCATGAGGGTGACTGCTGTGCATGAGGGTGACTGCTGTGCATGAGGGTGACTGCTGTGCATGAGGGTGACTGCTGTGCCTGAGGGTGACTGCTGTGCCTGAGGGTGACTGCTGAGCCTGAGGGTGACTGCTGTGCATGAGGGTGACTGCTGTGCATGAGGGTGACTGCTGTGCATGAGGGTGACTGCTGTGCCTGAGGGTGACTGCTGTGCATGAGGGTGGCTGCTGTGCATGAGGGTGACTGCTGTGCCTGAGGGTGACTGCTGTGCATGAGGGTGACTGCTGTGCCTGAGGGTGACTGCTGTGCCTGAGGGTGACTGCTGTGCCTGAGGGTGACTGCTGTGCCTGAGGGTGACTGCTGTGCCTAAGGGTGACTGCTGTGCCTGCCCCCCTGCCGCTCCCCGCCGCGATCTTCTCCAGGTGATCCACCAGCAGCTCCTCCCCGAGAGAAAAAAACTGCAGCAGACAATCCCTACCCTGAAACCTTCCCAAACCTCCCCAAACCCCCCCAAAGCAACTCACATCTTCTGAGTGTGATGGCTTCCCGTCACCCTGCCGCTTCCCGCCGCAATCTTCTCAAGGTAATCCACCAGCAGCTCTTCGCCCAGAAAGTCTCCCTAACCTAGAACCACCGTGTCCACCAAACGTGGCGAAGCTCTGTAGGTCCCCTCACTTTTTTGAAACAGCTCACATCTTCCAAGCAACTCACATCTTCTCAGAGTGATCGATCTGCCCGACGCCCTGCTGCTCCCCACCGCAATTTTCTCCAGGTGATCCACCAGCAGCTCCTCCCTGGTAGAAAAAAACAGCAGGATACAATCCCCATCCCTAAAACCTCCCCAAACCTTTCCAAACCTCCCCAAACCTTCCCAAACCTCCCCTCACATCTTCTCAGAGTGATCGATCTGCCGGACGCCCTCCCGCTCCCCGCCGCGATCTTCTCAAGGTAATCCACCAGCAGCTCCTCGCCCAGGAAGTCTCCCTTCCCTAGAACCATCGTGTCCACCATCCCCGTGTGCCCGCCAAAGGTGGAGAAGCTCTCGAGCTCGCCTCGGAGGACGAAGAAGATGCGCGAGACGGGGTACCCCTCCTTGATGATCACGGTTCCGGCCGTGTAGATCTGCTGCTGCAGCCGCGCACAGAAGGCATCGAGCACTGGCGGCTCCATAGCGCAAAACAACACAGACTGGCGATTGTTGGGGGGCGTGGGAGAGAGGGGAGAGGGTGAGACAGAGGGGTGAGAGGGCAGGCAGCAAGAGGGGAGAAGCTCTCGAGCTCGCCTCGAAGGACGAAGAAAGATCCAGGAGACGGGTGCCCCTCCTTGATGACTAGGGTGCCGCCTGTGTACATCTGCTGCTGCAGCCGCGCACAGAAGCCGTCCAGCACAGGCGGCTCCATGGTGCAAAACAGCACAGACTGGTGTTTTTGGCGGTGTGTGTGGGGGAGGAGGGGGGAGTGGAGGCGTGGGAGAGAGGGGAGAGAGCGAGAGAGAGGGGAGAGAGCGAGAGAGAGGGGAGAGAGCGAGAGAGAGGGGAGAGAGCGAGAGAGAGGGGAGAGAGCGAGAGAGAGGGGAGAGAGCGAGAGAGAGGGGAGAGAGCGAGAGAGAGGGGAGAGAGCGAGAGAGAGGGGAGAGAGCGAGAGAGAGGGGAGAGAGCGAGAGAGAGGGGAGAGAGCGAGAGAGGGGTGAGAGTGCAGGCAGCAAGAGGGGAGAAGCTCTCGAGCTCGCCGCGAAGGACAAAGAAATTGCGGGAGACAGGGTACCCCTCCGTGATGATTAGGGTGCCGTGCCGGCCGTGTATATCTGCTGCTGCAGCCGCCCACAGAAGGCGTCCAGCACAGGGGGGTCCATTCCATGGCACAGAAGAGAACAGAGTGTTGGGAGGAGGGAGGAGAGGCAGGAGAGGAAGGAGGGAGAGGCGTGATGGAGACGGGGTGCCCCTCCTTTCTTTTTGGGTTCCGGCCGTGAAGATCTGCTGCTGGAGCCGCGCACAGAAGGCGTCCAGCACTGGCGGCTGCATGGCGCAGAAGAGGACGGACTGCAAAGGGGGGGGGAGGGGGGGGGAGAGGAGAGGGGATGGCAAGAGAGGGGGGGGTTGGAGACGGGGTACCCCTCCTTGATAATTACGGTTCCTGCCGTGTTGATCTGCTGCTGCAGCTGCCCAGCAGCTCTCCACATCCCATCTACCATACCGTACCATATCGTACCATGAGGTACTATGCCTTGCCACCCACCCCACCCCACACAAGACTTGCACATTGCAGCAACTCGAGGCACAGGGACCGTCTTATGTCGACCTGAATGGAGTTCGAGAAAGTGGCTAACAGTTCTCTGCGTCCCATCTACCATGCAACGAGGTGCTATGCCTTACCACCCACCCCATCCCACCCATGACTCACGCATTGCCGCAGCTCGAGGCACAGCGAGCGGCGGATGTCGATCTGAATGGAGTCCGAGAAGGTGTCCAGCAGCTCTCTATCATACCATGCAATGCAATGCTTATATGCCCCAAAACACCCCCACCCATCCCACCCACCCCACCCAACACTCACGCATTGCAGCAGCTCGAGGCACAGCGAGCGGCGGATGTCAATCTGAATGGAGTCTGAGAAGGTGTCCAGCAGCTCTGCCTCGTCCACTCCCCTTGTCGCCGCCCACTGCAGCCGCAGCTGCGCTTGCACTTGCCTGCAGGGGGGTGCAGAGGCAAGTCAACAGGGTCAACAGGCAAAAGTGACGAGGGTATGTAGGGTACAAGACTCTGTCCAGCAGATCTGCCTTGTCCACTCCTCTTGTTGCCGCCCACTGCAGCCGCAGCTGCGCCTGCACTTGCCTGTGGGGGGATGCAAAGCGGTCAAGAAGGTTAACAGGGTTAACAGGGCCAACAGGGTCGGCAGGCTCAACAGTGACATGGGTTAACGAGGAAGCAGCAGCTCTACCCAGCAGCTCTGCTTCGTCCACTCCTCTTGTTGCCGCCCACTGCAGCCGCAGCTGCGCCTGCACTTACCTGCAGTGAGGTGGTTGTCAACAAGGGTCAACAGGGTCAACAAGGGTCAACAGGGCCAACAAGGTGAACACGGTCAATGAGCGAACATGTTTGAGCAGAGATGTCAATATAGTGATCAGGAATATCGATCGCAACAGCAGCAACGGCGGCATTCGAAGCACCAATGGGGGCTGGGCTGGGTGAAAGGAAACCACAGGGAACCACAGGAAACCACAGGGAACGTTCAGACGAGCTTACTTTTGGAGGTCGACAGGAAGGTTTCTTCGCTGCATCCACTCGTCAATGTCGTGGCGCTGCAACTGGTACTCGAACGACCTGCGGAGAGGGGAAGATGGGGGGAAGATGAAAGGGGAGAGACCAGCAAAGGGTGAGGAGGGGGGTGATCGGCTCAAGGGCCATCCACTCGTCAATGCCGTGGCGCTGTAGGTGGTACTCGAAGGGTCATCCACGTCAATGTTGTGGCGCTGTAGCTGGTACTTGGAGGTAACTGGTAACACATCGATGGTAACACATCGATGGTAACACATCGATGGTAACAACGGACCTTCTGTTCTGCAGGTTGTTGGAGATGTTGCCCATGAGCAGAGCACACTAACACAAGCAGCACTGCAGGTAACCACTAATGCACTGGTAACCCCACGTAACCGGTAACCCACTGGTTACCACTGGCCCTCTGTTGAGCGACTGCAGGTAGTTGGAGATGTTGCCAATGAGCAGCGCCAGCAGCAGCAGCAGCCCGAACAGAGCTACTGGTAACCACTGATACAAAGGTAACCCTAACCTAGTGGTAGCTGCTGCCCCAGTGATTACCACTGACCTTCTGTTCAACGACTGCAGGTAGTTGGAGATGTTGCCAATGAGCAGCGCCAGCAGCAGCAACACCATCAGCAACCACAAACAGCACAGCTGGTAACTACAAACAGCACAGCTGGTAACCACAAACAGCACTGCTGGTAACCACAAACCCATTGGTAACGCTGATCCAAAGGCAGTCTCTGACCTTCTGTTAAGTGACTGTAGGTAGTTGGAGATGTTGCCAACGAGCAGCGCCAGCAGCAGCAGCCCAATGATCTTCACCACGATCACAAACAGCACGGCTGGTGGTAACCACAAATACAATGGTAACCTTGAACCGGTGGTAACTGGGAACACATTGACAATGAGCACTGACCTTCGGTTAAGCGACTGCAGGTAGTTTGAGATGTTGCCAATGAGCAGCGCCAGCAGCAGCAGCCCAATGATGATGACGACGATCACAAACACCACCTCCACGTCCCACCGCGAGGGGACCAGGTTGCCGCACAGGGTGCTCACTTGCTGTGGTAGGGGGAAGGGAAGGCAGGAAGGGGGGTTAATGTGGATGGGGAAAACTTGGCACGAGCCCGTTACATCGCTATTACCACCATGACAAACAGCGCCTAGAAGCCCTTGCCTGGTGCTGTCTCAACACAACACCATGAGGAGCATATTTTTTAGGCGCCTCAAAAATGGACTCCACTATTGCAAACAGCACCTCGATGCCCTTGCTTGGTGAGGTTTTAAGACAACACCCGTCTCAAGACGTGTGCGCAAAGGGCTGACTCACAGAGAACGACACCCCCATCTGTGCCAAGAAACAGATTGCTCGCCTGCAGGCCCCAGAAGAAGGGATTAGACGTGGCTCGACACCATGTCCCGCCTCGTTGCTCACGTAATGCGCCACCAGGTATGAGCAATACGTGACACAGAGAAGCGGCTCACCTGCAGCCCCTGGCAATACGCGAGACGGAGAAGCGGCTCACATGCAGCCCCTGGCAATACGCGAGACGGAGCAGTTGAAGGCAACGTGAGACGGAGCTTAAAATCAGCGGGATTACCGTGGCGAATGCGAGTCAGTCCCCACGGGGGGATTACCGTGGCGAATGCCAGGCGGTACAGTGGCGAATCGGCGGGATACCCCATAGGCTATGTGCGAGTCAGTCTTCCCTTCCTCTTCAGGGGTGTACTTCACGTTCTTGCCGGTGTGGTGTGGTGAAAAGAGACCTGTTACTGCGGTAGCCTCAGTAACAGCAACTAAGTGGTAAGCCTGACTGTAACAAGACCCGACAGCTCACCTGCAGCACCCAGAAGGAGTAGATGTAGCTTGACACCACGTCCCGGCTCGAGGTCAGAGGAAGCAGAGGCAGAAGCCACAGCAAGGAGAACCTAACACCAGAGCTGCTCACACCATTGTACCAAGGGTAAGCTGCTCACCTGCAGTCACAGGTAAGAGGCTCACCTGAAGTCACGGGTAAGCGGCTCACCTGCAGTCACGGGTAAGCGGCTCACCTGCAGTCACGGGTAAGCGGCTCACCTGCAGCCCCCAGAAGAAGGAGTAGATGTAGCTCGACACCACGTCCCGGCTCGAGGTCAGCGGGATCGCAGACGCGAATATCCCGTACGCTATAGGGGACTGCGTCGTGCCGTCCTCCCCTGGGGAGTACAGGCACGTGGTGACGTTCCGGTTCTCATATTGCGGTGAGAAGAGGTCCGCTGAGGCGACAGTGGTGACAGGCGCGTTGGTGTTGGCGCAGTAGAGGTAGGCGGGGTTGCAGCCAGGGGTGTTGCCACACACATTCTGAAGGCACTCGCTGAAACGCTGTTTGGGGCGAGACGGGGAGAGAGTGGGGGAGGAGAGGGGAGATAGGGTAAGACTGGGAGTTGGGGTTGCAGCCGGGGGTGTTGCCGCACACATACTGCAAACACTCGCTGAAACGCTGGTGGGGAGAGAGTGAAGGGAAGAAAAAAGGGGGGAAAGAGGGGAGATAGGGGGTAAGAAGGGGCACTGGTGTTGCTGCAGTAGAGGTAGAGGCGATTGCAGCCAGGGGTGGTGCCGCACACATACTGCAGACACTAGCTGAAACGCTGGTTGGGGAGGAGTAGTGGAGGGAGAAACAAGGGGGGGGAGGCGGGATGGGAGAGGAAAGGATGGGGAGAGTGTGTAAGAAGGGGCGTTGGTGTTGCTGCAGGGGAGTGGAGGTTGGGAGGGGTTGCAGCCAGGGGTGTTCCCGCACACCTACTGCAGACACTTGCTCAAATGCTGGTGGGGGGGGGGGGGGGGACGAGGAAAGACAGGGCGAGAGAGGAGTGAGGGGGCAGCAAGCAACCAGGGATTTGAGAGGAGTTGGTCTATGCCGTTTCAAACACACAAGCCCCATCACGTGGGGTGCTGAGGCGTCCCAAAACACAGTGAAAAGGAGCATAGGAAGGGAAAGCGAGAGAAGGTACGGACACAGGGCACTCACATCAACAGCTAGGATGTACCACACCCCTCCGACAAAGTTGGACGCCACGAGGTTGAACACCAGGTTGAGGAGGAAGTTGGCCCACGCTGTCTCAAAGACAAAAGCGGGTACATCCAGCATAGCATAGCATAGAACTACTACAGATACCTGATTGCAAGTATACTCGTGCTGGGCACTCACATCAACAGCCAGGATGTACCACACCCCTCCAACGAAGTTGGACGCCATGAGGTAGAAGACGAGGTTGAGGAAGAAGTTGGCCCACGCCGTCTCAAACACAAAGCCAGTCACGTGGGGGGCCGTGCCGGCCAACAGGGGGAAGAATCGGGCGGCGCGGGGGACGTTTTGGATGCAGAGGGCGAGGAGAGTGAGCACCGCGATCCACGTGTTGGCTGCTGTGGCCACCCGTCTCCCAAGCGCCGGCACTATGCCCAATATGAAGATCTGCGGGGGACAGGGGAAGGGCAGGGAAAGGACAGTTTTGAGGCGCCTCAAGACTAGACAGGTGAAGGGCAGGGAAAGGAGAGGGGACGGATCGGGGAGGGAAGAGGAGAGTGTGGGGCGCGTTATCGATGCAGAGGGCCAGCAGAGTGAGCACTGCGATCCACGTGTTGGCCGCTGTGGCCACCCTTTTCCCCAGCGCCGGCACTATGCCCAGAATGAAGATCTGCAGGTGAGGGGAATTGCAGGAACGGACAGAGGAGGGAAGAGGAAAGAATGGGGGGCGCGTTCTGAATGCAGAGGGCGAGCAGAGTGAGCACTGCGATCCACGTGTTGGCTGCTGTGGCCACCCTTTTCCCCAGAATGAAGATCTGCGGGCCAGGGGGACGGGAAGGGGAAAGCACACGGGGGATGTTATCGATGCAGAGGGCGAGGAGAGTGAGCACTGCGATCCACGTGTTGGCTGCTGTGGCCACCCTTCGCCCCAGCACTGGCACTATAGGGTGAGGCATCTGGCAGCAAGGACGCATGTGGCGGTCTCCATGTCACCCATAGGGGTGAGGCGCTGGGGGGATAAGGGGCTAGAAGGGGGCGCCAGGCGGGCTTATGATACGACCATACCTGGGGAAGGTCTTACCTGCGGAATGGGGAGCGTGGAGATCAGGTCGACGATGAACCACGACTTGAGGTATCGGGCAGCGAGGACGCGGGTGTCTGTCTCCATGTCGCCCGGGTTGAGCCGAGACGGCTCGGAGTACCACCAGCGGAAGCAGCTCCAGCGGTAGGAGCGGTTGCTGGGGGCGGGGACGAAGTAGGCCATGCGGAACTGATGGGGGAGGGGGAGAGGGGGGAGGGGAGGAAAGGGTAGGGGAGAGCGGTTAAGGAATAGGAAAAAAGGCAGCTCCAATGGTAGGGGCGGGGACGAAGTAGGTGACGCGGAACTGATGGTGAGAGGGGGAGGAGGGGAGGAAAGGGTAGGGGAGATGGGGTAAGAAAGCAGCTCCAGGTCCACAGATGACTGCATGGCTGTGAGTGTGATAAGGTACGTTAGGTCCACGAACAATCACATCGCATGGCTGTGAGTGTGATGGCAACAGCAGAGTGCACTACATGTGTGCAGTCGAGTGTAGATGGTCTCATACAAACCGGTTGGCAAAAGTAGACGGACACGCACGCACCTGTGTAAATATGTTGATGAGGTCCATCAGGACCACGAGCAACAGAGTGCACTACAACCGCGTGCACACACACCTGTATAAATATGTTGATGAGGTACATCAGGTCCACGAGCAACAGAGTGCACTACAACCGCGTGCACACACACCTGTATAAATATGTTGATGAGGTACATCAGGTCCACGAGCAACAGAGTGCACTACAACCACGTGCACACACACCTGTATAAATATGTTGATGAGGTACATCAGGTCCACGAGCAACAGAGTGCATTACAACCGTGTGCACACACACCTGTATAAATATGTTGATGAGGTACATCAGGTCCACGATTGATCGGAGGACAGTGAGTGAGATGGCAGCGGGGTAGTTGATGTCCAAACACAGGGTGGACTGGGGGGGGGGAGGGGGGAGGAGAATGAGGATGGGGCAGAATGAAAGAGACGCGGGGCGGGATGGCATGACAGTGAGAGCGATGGCAGCACACAGGGTGATGTGAAAGGGCACATGGGGCAGAGGGAGGGAGCGAGAGAGATGAGACAGGATGGGAGGGGGCGTTATGAGGCGGGCATATGATGCCGATGCCCGATTCGATTGTGAGGCGGGCATGTGAGAGATAGAGTCTGCATGGCTGTGAGGCTCGACACAAGGCTGCCCAACCACCTCCTCCGGTGTGGCACGGGGCACGGACGGACAGATACCCATAACGCCCTACGGGATGAGAGCATCCGGATGGCCCGGGACGCTGATTTTATAGTCACCAAAGAGACGACCATCTACAGCCCCGTGGACGGGCACAAGGCCGACCTCGCACTCCGCGACCGCAGCTCCGGAGCCGTCTGGATCTGTGACGTCACCGTCACCGACCCCATCAGCAGCCGGGACCCGGATGCACGGAAAGGACGAGGATACATGGCCCGGGAGCAAGCCGACAAAAAGATATCCCACTACCGAAATCGGGCTCCCTACGTGGGCTTCTTCCCACTGGCGGTCGAGACTTACGGCTGCCCCTGCGCCGAAGTCCCCACCTTCCTCAAACTGCTGGCAGACACAGGTGCCAGGAGGCTCTTCAATGCCGACCCCAGCTCCTACCAGGCAGCTAAATTGCTCCACCAGTTCCGCCAGCGCTGGTCTGTGACGCTCCAGCGAGCGCAGGCCTTGGCTTACCTGGGTAAGGTGAACGAAGCCTCCCCGGCCCCCCACGCTCCCGTGGGCACACCCGCCGCCGACATGGCCCTCGGGGACTGTTTTGCTATAACAGAACCCCTAGGGGAGCTCGAGTAGCTTCGGGCACCCCCAACATGCACGTACCTCTCCCTTGTTGCCTTCCGCTTGCCTAGCCTGTACCGAGGATTCCAAGGAATAAACGGACCGCTTGAGAGGCTCGCATGACAGTGCTGTGAGGATGGTGGCAGCGGAGTAGTTGATGTCCAAATGCATGCCATGGTGCTTTTTTAGTCGACTCAAAAATCATCTACGGCTCACATGACAGTGCCGTGACTCCGTGAGGCTGATGGCAGCGGGGTAGTTGATGTCCGAGCACATGGCAGGGAAAGCAGATCCTTGAGTCGACTCAAAAATCACCTCTTGATGTCCGAGCACGTGGCAGGGAAAGCAGATCCTTGAGTCGACTCAAAAATCACCTCTTGATGTCCGAGCACGTGGCATGGAAAGCAGATCCTTGAGTCGACTCAAAAATCACCTCTTGATGTCCGAGCACGTGGCATGGAAAGCAGATCCTTGAGTCGACTCAAAAATCACCTCTTGATGTCCGAGCACGTGGCATGGAAAGCAGATCCTTGTGCGACCACATAAAGTGTCTACTTAAGTAAACGGGGCGTACCTTGGAGGGTGAGAACATGGGAAGCAGCGTGATGAGGAACCGGGTTAGTGTGGATGGTAACCAGATGATGGTAAACAAGAGCATGGTAACCAGAGGATGGTAACCAGGGGATGGCAACCACACTATGGTAACCAGATGACTTCTGAGCGTATATGCATACCTTGCTCGGTGAGAACATCGTGAGCAGCGTGAAGAGAAACCATGGGTCTATGCAGAAGCCGCCGATGCAGAACAGCATGAAGTACTTGTTCCACTGGGACACGAATCTATGAAGACCGGGGAGAAGAAATGGGGAGGGGAGCAATGCATTGGGTTGCTGTAACGAGTCGGCGCAAATGGGTCTATGCAGAAGCCGCCGATGCAGAAGAGCGTGACGTACTTGTTCCACTGGGACACGAATCTGAAAGGGGGTGAGAACGGAGAGTTGAAAACGGAGGAGGGGAGGGGAGGGAAGGGAGGGGAGGGACTCAAGATAAATAATATATGGAAGCAGAAGCTGGAGATGCAGAAGAGCATGAAGTACTTGTTCCACTCTGAAAGGGGATGAGAACGGAGAGAAGAAAACGGGGGAGGGAGGGGAGGGGAGGGACTCAAGACACATAATACACTGATGCAGGCACGCAATGCATTGAGTCGATGTGACGAGTCGGCTCAAACGGGGCGATGCAGAAGCACACCTCAAAAGCAGAAGAGCATGACGTACTTGTTCCACTGGGACACGAATGTATGAAGACCGGGGATAAGAAATGGTAATGAGATGAGGAGGAAGGGAAGGAGTTGAGTGAGATGGTGATGCCTGGGCTCAGAAGGCGGAGGTGCAGAAGTTCGTGAAGTACTTGTTCCACTGGGAAACGAATATATGAAGACATAGGAGTGCTACCACGGGAGTGCGGAATGAGTAGAGTTCGAGTGCCACCACAAGAGCCCACCTGGCAACAAGAGCGCTCCTGGAGTGGGGGTTGAGGATGCCCACGGGTTGGACCAGCCCCCCCCACGAAGTGGAGTGTGCTTCGAAGCGGCTGTAGAGCAGCCACAGGTGGTTGTTACCACAGCCTGCTACCACAACTGCAGGGTGATATAGGTCACTTGCGTCCACAAGAGCCCACCTGGAGTGCGGGCTGAGCGCCCTACAAGACAAGAGCCCACCTGGAGACAAGAGCCCACCTGGAGTGCGGGTTGAGAATGCCCACAGGTTGCACCAGCCCCTCCACGAAGCGGAAGAAGCCAAGCATGGGCGACCGGCGCTTGCCCTGCAGCAGGGGGCGGGGCCGGGGGGGGGGGGGGGCTCTTTTGAGGTGTGCTTTTGAGTCGACTCAAAGGCGCTTGCCCTGCAGCAGGGAGCGGGACAGAGGGGGGACGGGGGGGGCTCTTTTGAGGTGTGCTTTTGAGTCGACTCAAAGGCGCTTGCCCTGCAGCAGGGAGCGGGACAGAGGGGGGACGGGGGGGGCTTTTGAGGTGTGCTTTTGAGTCGACTCAAAGGCGCTTGCCCTGCAGCAGGGGCCGGGTCAGAGGGGAAGGGAGGGGGGTGGCTTATGAGGTGTTTTGGACGAGGGGGGAATGGGAGAGGGGCACGAGGCCGAGAGGGGTCGAGCACAAATACAGGGCGCAAGGGTTAGACCAGCCCCCACACGAATCAAAGAAGCCAAGCATGCGCGACCGCAGCTTGCTCTGGAACGAACCAACGGGGCGGTTTGGGGAAGGATGGAAAACGGGAGAGTTCAGATGCGGGCGATAGGAGGACACGGGAGGGCGAGAAAGAGAAAGGGCACACGGGAAAGGGGGGGGGGAGACGAACCCGGCTGGTGAAGACAACGCAAGGCAGCCCACAGCAGCGGATGATGGTTCCCTTCCCGCCCGTCCACTCATCGTACTCCTCGTCATCCTCAAAATCAAACTCGTCGAAATCATACGTGAGAGAAAGAGAGGGTGGTGAACGGAAAGGGGACGAACCCGACTGGTGAAGACAACGCAAGGCAGCCCACAGCAGCGGATGATGGTTCTCTTCCCGCCCGTCTCCTCGTCATACTCCTCATCATCCTCAAAATCAAACTCGTCGAAATCATACTCAAAGTCGTCCATCCCCCCTCCCCCTCCGCCGCCGCCCCCGCCTCCGCCTCCCTCTCCCCCATCCCCCCCATCGCTCCCCCGCCTGCCCCCACCCTTTCTGTCTTTCGATGCGAGCGGCTGCGGAAATTCGTCTATGACCGCCGCCATTAGCTTCCGGTTCCGTAGCGCGTGCATTTCCGGCGGGCACTTGTTACACGTCGGATCCATGCACATAATCATAGACTTCTGCACTAGATTAGACTTTGGTATGCTAGGCGTGCTCGGTGCCGTCCCCCCCCACGATCCCGACTGGGGGATCACCGAAGGCGGAGGAAACATTCCCGACTGCCCGATCAGCCCCGACTGACCAATCATGCCCGACTTTCCCATGCCCGGGCCGGGAAACTGCCCGGAGAGCGGCCCGCCGGGTCGTCTCCCCCCGCCTCGAAGAAGACCGCTGTCTCCCGGGCGGTAACTGGGGAAGGCGGCTTCTGGCATGCGCCCGCGCTGCAGGTGCTGCGACGGGGACCACAGCCGCGCGTCTCCGCTCATGTCGGAGCCCAGCGCGCGGTGCATCATGCCGTCGCCGCCGGGGGAAACGGCGGGGTGCGGGCGGGGGAAGATGGCGGAAGCCGCGGGGCGGGTTCTCCGCCGAGGCGGAGGCTCCGGCATCTCCATGGACAGATTCCGCCTGTCGCGCTCGGGGTCCCGCGGCTGAAACCCCGGAAATCCGTGGAAGCCTTGCGGCGTCGGCGGATTCGTGAAATTGGAACTGAGATCGGAAAAGCCCGTCATCGGGCCGCTGGGGGTGGCTGGGTCAGGGCCAGACACCGCTGCGGCGGCGGCTGCGGCTGACGCGGAGGCTGACGCTGCGGCTGTCGCGGCGGCAGATGCGGAGGCCATGGCGGAGGGGGTTAAGGGCCCTCCTGCTGCTCCGCGGACCCATCTGGGGGTGTAGCTCGGGGTACGCTCGACGACGTTGGGGGTTGGTAAGGAGGCAGCGATGTCGATGGTTGGCGGCTCGGGAGGGATTCCATGCTCAGGAAGGCTCCGGTCCCTCTCCATTGACGCACGCGTTGAAGGGAAACGCAGTCAGATGCGGTCCGAGAAACTAGAAGGTGCGAAACGTTCGAGCTGACGGAATGATGCGGTAACTTAGCGAGACCAAGAGCAACGCTTACTGAAGCTCTTTACTCAGTATGCGACATGGTTCTTGTTTTTAAAATCCCTGAAGATTATTGTCTACACACTGCAGAATAACTAGACGGGACGCTGCTGGTGTAGCGGGACGCTGGTGCGGATGTGTGAGCTTGGCTTCCTACAGTGCACTGCCATTGACGTAAACGGAATCGAGACCATCGTGAGAATGAAACTAACGTGATAGCGGAAGCGATAGCGAGAGGCAAGCCGGCACGTATCCGAATGTGTTCCAATAAACCTACCGGACTTTACGCTGATGCGGAAAGCAACAGAGGAAGGCAAGAGAGGCAGCCATGGATAGCAGGATAAGGAACCTGGGCATTACTGGTTGGGTAAGCTGAGGCTGGACAACCAAGCTTTCGTTGGGATTTTCCTGCCCGAGAAGCTGACCGAAACTCACCTTCCTTGGTTGTCGGACCTACTATTGGTTGGTCGAGGGTGGAGGAAAACTGCCTTTTTCGCGGCTGCCCGGAGTCGGTGTGTCAGGTTTGCCTTGGGGATGTCGTGCCCAGCAAGGGTCTTGCAGTTCTGTTGCGGCTCGATAATTTCAAGGGGTCCGATCCCAACAGTTTCGGGGATTCCACGGTGTCAGGTGGAGGAACGCTGAACAAGAGCCAATCGGACAACTTGTCACGCTAGATTAACGGATTCAAATGGGGTTCAGCTGGTTTGAAACGGTTTGTGTTGGGTTGAGCGGGGGTCCCCGATTCCAAACTCGTCAAGTCGCTGTCACCACCACAACGCTACAGTGGTTCCCCGTGAGTGGCTGGTTGCACTGTACCTGTCCATTCACAGCGCTCCTTGTCAAGCGGTGCAATAATTTGAAGGCCTACAGAGCTTCAGTATCGAGTATATACGCTCTACAGCGTGATATTCCCGTTAGCATGAAATCCTGCGTGTACCCCACTCGATGCGTTTGCGTATGCTGGTTCGAAATCTAACCCTCAGTTTTTGTAATAACATGTCCATCCATTAATCGCATAACAAGTACAGCCAGTAAGTGAAAGAAGTTACAGTACAGCAACAACGCGCTAGGTAGTGATGAAAACGCAGCGCGGAGACGGTATTATCGAGGTGATTTTCCTCAGGATTTGCGGCGAGGTTTTCCTTCACTGGGTGAGTGAAGATCCAGTTCAGTAGTGAGTGCCACCAGTCACACCATAGTGCAGTGCTAGTCACGCCATTGGCTGAAGGTGCATGCCAGCTTGAAGCATTTCGGCAGCTTGCCCTGAATACGTTAGTTGCTGTTTCGTGGTGCCTTGACGCCAGACCGGTTAGCCATCGTGCTCTGACAGGACGTTCCTTGCTCAGCATTCTCTACGGACTCTTCGTCGTCAGCATTCGCTGAGTCATCAGCGTATACTATTTCCTCCATTTGATAGTTATTCCGTCGTGAGCTTCGTCCTAGAGCCTAAGCTTCCTCTTTCAGCAATTTCTCAGAGCCGCACGAGGTTAAGCTCCAGGTGGCTTTGATTCCGCTTTGTGCGGCCACGTGCGATCTGGTGGGATAAATAAACATGGCTTCCGAACTGTTAAGGCCACAGGTGAGTTTTATTTCGCTTTAAAATGTCGCATTCTAGGTGCATTTAGGAAAATATGAGCGAATATTTCTGTGTGCGGACCAGCTCAAGCATTCATTCTGCTCCTCTTACCCCACATTCACACGTGTCAGCTTTAGAGATAAACCTGATTATGCTAGCAGGTTCATAAGCAAATCTGCATTGTAAGTGGATTCGCAGAGTGCAATTTTCGGCGGAATACGACACATTGTTACTGTCCGAGATCATGTCAGTCCTCAATCCCTGACCATGTTACAACATCGCGCTAATCTGTTTCGTATTATCAGGAACAGAGTCACAGGGAGACCGCATTAGGAAGACGCTTCACAAAAAGTTCCCTGTACGAATCCCAAATAAATTCCTTCCAATCTGACTCATTTCACGGCAAGGAGACGAGACGAGGCATCAGGAGGACGCTACACAAGCCTTGAGATGTCTCAAGCCTTGAATGCCAATTTCTCTACTCCCTTCTAAACGAATCCATCTCACGGCGGGGGAACGAGACGATGGAACAGGAGGACGTTACACAAGCCGTGCCTTGAATGCCAATCTCACCAATCCCTTCTGATCTGACCCATCTGACGGCAGGGGAACGAGACGATGCAACAGGACGACGCTACGCAAGCCTTGAGATGTCTCAAGAATTAAATGCCAATTTCTCTACTCCCTTATAATCTGACCCATCTCATGGCAGGGGGACGAGACGATGCAGCAGGACGACGGTACACAAGGGTCAGACGGCGTCCAAATACCCAAGGAAGGGCAGTTGACGTACGACGGCCGCTACAGGCGCTACAGCTTCTACGGCATCATCTTCGAGGTCCCGGTCCGCTACGTCCCGCTCGTCCCCATTGGCCGAGGAGCCTACGGAATCGTCTGGTGAGCCATGGGATGAGAACGGATAGATGTGCATGTGTGAACCATGGATTCGTCAAGTAATAATTGATGTCGATAAAGAGAGCAGTAGAGGCGGTGGAGACTTCAGGCTAGCGCTATTATAAGTTAGCAGGTGTTAGTCGAATCCGACAACATTCTCAGATTGATTCCCCTTGTGCCCTCAGTCCTGCAAGTGAGGAGACAACTGGGGAGGAGGTGGCGATCAAGAGGATCGGCAAGGTGTTCAACGACCGCACAGACGCCAAGCGTACCCTGGCGATCAAACCATGCATGTTGCCTCCTTTCCTGAACGTTTTATTTTCCCCGTGGTCCCTCAGCTCGGCACGAGATGAGACAACTGGGGAGGAGGTGGCGATCAAGAAGATTGGCAAGGCGTTCAACGACCGCACAGACGCCAAGCGGACCCTGCGCGAGATTGTGCTGCTCAGAAACATGAACCACCCCAATGTGAGTGAGCACACTCTTTTGCGTTAGGACATCATCCGCACCCCCAACCCGTATAGCTTCCAGGACGTACACATTGTGGACGAGCTCATGACTCTCGTTGCCCTCCCGCTCCTCTTCACCCCTATTTTCCCATCTCCTCTCCCCCCTCCCCCCATCCATTCTCCCACCAGGTGATCGCCATCAAGCACATCATCCGCCCGCCCAACCCCAGGGCTTTCAGGACGTGTATATTGTGTACGAGCTCATGCCCCTCGTTGCCCTCTCACTCTGGTCTCCCCATTCTCTCCTCTCCCTTCCTCCCACCAGGTGATTGCCATCAAGGACATCATCCCCCCGCCCAACCCCGCGAGCTCGTGCCTTTATGGACGGGCACATTGTGTACAGCTCATGCCCCTCCTTCCCCTCTCATTCTGGTCTCCCCATCCTCTCCTCTCCCTCCCCTCCACCAGGTGCAAGGACATCATCCGCCCGCCCAACCCCCAGAGCTTCCAGGACGTGTACATTGTGTAGCTCTTGCCTCCCGTTGCTCTCCCAGTCCTTTCTTACTCTCTCTCCCTCCTTCTACCTCTTCCTTCTCCCCCCAAGTAATCGCCATCAAGTAGATCATCCGCCCCCCCCAGAGCTTCCAGGACGTGTACATTGTGTACGAGCTCATGCCCCTTGTTTCCCCTCCCATTCCCCTACTCTCTCTTCCCTCCCACCAGGTGATCGCCATCAAGGACATCATCCGTCCGCCCAACCCCGGGAGCTTCCAGGACGTGTACATTGTGTACGAGCTCATGCCCACGGACCTGCACGAGGTCATTCGCTCAGGCCAGGCCATGGACGAGCGGCACTACAAGGTGGGCTCGGGGGGTGCTACTAGGATGGCTCAAACCTTCAAGGTGGGTGTATGAGCGATGGTAGGAATCTTGAGAGTAGCTGTTAAATCTGGTTTCGTACGAGCTCATGCCCACGGACCTGCACTGCACGAGGTCATCCGCTCAGGGCAGGCCATAGACGAGCGGCACTACAAGGTAGGTGGGTGTATGAGCGATTGTGCAATGCAGTGCAGTGACACAACGTGTGTTTATGATGGCACACGGCTGGGGTGGGATGTAACTGTCGGATGTAAGTGTGTACAAGCTCATGCGCACGGACCCCTGCATGCACACTGATTCCAACATGCGATCATTTGTTCCTGGACCCTGCAACTCCCACCCAATTCATCCTGTTCCAGCTGCTAAGGGGCACCACCAGCTGCATCCACTCAGCCACACCCGCTCCCCCTTGTTTCTAGTCATACATGTGCTTGTAACCCCCTCTACCCCGACCACCACTTCTCCCCTTCCCCAGTTCATCCTGTTCCAGCTGCTGCGCGGCACCAAGTACATCCACTCGGCCAACATCCCCCGTCAACCCTCACTCACATGTCTCACATGTTCTGTGTGTAACCCCTGTTTACCCTGTCACTCTGTGCTCCTCCCTTCTCCAGTTCATCCTGTTCCAGCTGCTCCGCGGCACCAAGTACATCCACTCGGCCAACATCCTCCACCGCGACTTAAAGCCCCCCAACATCCTCATTGATGCGCGCTGCAACATCAAGATCACCGACTTTGGGCTCGCGCGCACCCGCGTGGAAACCACCGACCATCTAACCGAATACGTGGTGACGCGGTACTACCGCGCGCCGGAGCTGCTGGTGAACAACCAGCAGTACAGTGCGTCGATTGACGTGTGGTCGGTGGCGCTGATCTACCTGGAGCTCGTGCTGGGGCACATCGTGCTCAAAGGGGACAACTATGTGGACCAGCTGCGCAAGACATGCGAGGTGAGGCCAAAGGGGGGGGGGAGAAGAGAGGAGGGCGGGTGACTGTCGAGTTGGAGTCGACTCAAAGGGGACAACTACGTGGACCAGCTACACAAGACCTGCGAGGTAAGGGGAGCTGGCTTTTTTCTTTAATACTTCCTGCTTGACAATGCTGCTAGCTGCTCTCGATTGAGGTGGCATTTGAGTTGGAGTCGACTCTACGTGGACCAGCTCCGCAAGAGGTGCAAGGTGGGCGCAGGGGGGGTTGGGGGGAGAGGGGGGAAAGGGGGGGATGCTTACATTCGAGGTGACTGTTGAGTTGGAGTCGACTCTACGTGGACCAGCTGCGCAAGACGTGCGAGGTGAGCGCAGGGGGGGTTGGGGAGAGGGGGGGGAGGGGGGGGGATGCTTACAGTCGAGGTGACTGTTGATTTGGAGTCGACTCAAATTCGACAACTGCGTGGACCAGCACCGCAGGACGTGCGAGGTGAGGGGAGCTGCTTGCTACCTGCTGGAGACTGGGTAGGTCTTAAGACTGCTAGCGAACAGCCGCCCATATCTTGCTCAAAGGGGACAACTG